GTTGCTGTGTTGTTATTGGGTGTATAAGGGTCACAGAGTATAAGCCATACATGGTGGTTGAGGCGGCAGCAGAGGCAGTAGAGACGGCAGTGTTGTCAGTCACCCTACATAACTGCAACAACATTGGAAGAGTTTGGTTCGTGCTGTCCTTTTTCTATTGATTAATCGCTTAACTTGCTTGCTACAGTTAATGCTACACTTTATGGCTGGCTGCTGCTATAGCCTTTATAGACTCCTGCTGCTTTAGTATCATACATATTGCAGAATCATTGAAAAAGGCACATTCTCCCCACTCTCAGCCCATGGTGGCTTATTTAGCAGTTACAAGCACTAAAAACAATGGAATAATACAAAATGTATCGCATGTACATGTGGAATTATCCACAGTGGCTTATAAACAATGGCACACTAGCCACACTGGAGTGGCTGGGCAGCTCAGGCTGGGCGGACACGCTCTGGACGAATGTCCTTAATTGAGTTTTGCAGCGTTAGCCGAGCCAATATTTTGACGCAAAAAGTATCGGTATCCGATTTTATTGCTATCCGATGGCATCATTAACTGAGGGTCCACTGTATCAAACTTTTAAATGAGTGTGAAGCATGGGTTTTAAATGTTGCAGTGAGGAGGCAACTGGAAGCAGTGATGTTGTTGTCTGTTGGCAGTGTGTGGTGTGAATTTTATGCCGACAATAGTTTGGAGATTAGGACTGAGGAGAGAGAGTATTGAGTAAAATAGGATGACTGAAAGGTGTATAAATGTATAGAGGGGAGAAGGAGGGGTAGGAGGGACAGGGTAGTTTTTGTATGCAAAGGGCTTTGACATTCAGCAGGTGCTTGTGTGTGTGTTAGGAGTGAGTGTTGGCAAATGGTTTATGATGTGCCGTTGAAATGTGTGCATGGTAAAATGAAGGGACTCAGGGAAAACCGGTTGGCTGGACTCGAGTGCTGGAGGTGGGAAGTACAGTGCCTGCACTCTGAGGAAAGTGGTAGGGATATTGCAGTTTGGAGAGGCATTGGAGCTGTAATGACACTGTGCCTTTGGCAAGACAGTGATGGAGGAGTGGTGAACTGTATCTTCTTTTCAGGTTGCCCTAGCTTGGTGGGAGATGGCCAGTGTTAAAAAAAAATTATCACTTTTATCAATGAGGCTTAGCCTAGACAGCAGAAGCAAGGAAAAAGTTGGGTCTAGGAAATCCACTTTTATTATGCTTTTACTTGTTTTAACTGCACATGTTGCGGTGCATCCAATATTTATATGCAGTATAGTATGTGAAGTGTTAAACCCATGTTGGGGTCATTCAGCACAAGTTGTAGTGGAGACGATTCTGTTTGCAGCTAGGCTTTTTCTTTTCATTTTTATTTTTTTTGTTTCATTAACACTTATTGCACATCTGTCATCAAATAGGTTATTAGTGCACCCAAAATGGGCCAGCTGCCTTTCTGCAGGTTGTCTTTGTCAGGCACTTGGGGAAGTGGCAGTTCTATAAACTCTGCTAATAAGAGGAACTTCCATGCACAGTTTTAAGTGGTAAACCACCATTACAATAGTGAACAGCCATCTCATCACTGGCAGTGCTCACTACCGTCGCCAGAACACACTATAAATACAATCTCTGAACCCTTTTATGTAAAACATTTTGCTCCGTGTCAGATTTTCAAAGCATCTGTCACATGTATAGTCATCCCTACAAAGTTGCAAGGGCTCATGTTCCTAGACATCAGAAAAACTGGAAACCATGTGACAATTTTTTTTTTAATTTGGGTTTGTTATGTGTTTGAGACAGTGTTTCTATTATCATCAATCTTGTTAATATTGGCTTTTGCAAAAATAATGGCCAGAATTAAGAGCTTCGGGCATGGGACAGCTTGTGAGCAAGAGAAATCTCAGCTAATTGAATCATTGTTGGTTGCCCTTCTGTAAAAAAAACATTGGATAATTGAAATTTGCAAATATAAAAGCCAATGAATTTGTTAGAGCGATTAGTACCTCCTATTTCTGCATCCTGTTCAGGAGAGATTGAGGGTATAACATGGTTCAAAATTGCAATTGGTGCATACTAGGTACACCTATCCAAACTGACAAGTGCTCAACAGAAGGGACTCCTGTCACAACAAACCAAAACTAGTTACTCTTACATCAGCTCATTTTATTGGGTGTAGCCAAAATGGGGGGGGGGGGGATATAGAGCCAGTTTACAGTTACTTGTGTTCTTGATGTTGGAAATTAGTTGTGCTGTATTTGTGATACAGTACTGTACATACATTAATAAAGATGCAGTATACATATCATATACACAGTATAGTACAGTATTGTATATTCATGCATAATTATTAGAATACTAATGTTTACAGTACTGTATGCTTCAGAGTAAGTTACATAAATATGCTTGTCCTGTTTTTTACACTGTACAGTGATAAGTTTATCCTGTTAATTTTTAAACTGTGGTACAGTAGTTAGTCCTTTAATTGAATTTGTATATATTTTTGCTAATTGAATTTGGATTTTGTCTTCCCAAAGAATAAGTTTTTTTTTATGCCAGTGGCACTGATTATTTTGTACCAGATGTCATCCCAACAGTTAACATGGACTGTAAATTAATATAGATTTTCTAATAAAGTTCCTAATGTTTATTCTAAATTATAAATTACTAGTAAAAAAGTTAAACTAGCAAGTAGTGAAACCTTGTATTTTAATTTATTTAATTTTAGAAATCTTTTCCTAGATGTAAATTTTTTCTTTGGGAGTTTTATTAAAGTATAAGTTTAAGCATGTTCTTATTTACTGAGAATTTATCTTTTTCATAGTTTATTGAGGCTGGGGAATTTTTATGGTAAATTAAGTAGTCTTAAGTAGTAGTCATGCATGGAATTTATATTAATGCAAAGTATTGGAATACTAGTCACTTTCAAATAAATGTGTGCAATCTATTGTTTATATTCATTTTTTAGTGCTTATTTTTAGTATTTATATAAGTTTTGTTTCATAATTTTAAAATTGAAATTATTTTATTTTTTCAAAATGGCTAATAATTTATATGCAATAAAGCTAATTTATCATTTTTAATAAGCTTTGGCTTGGTCATCTGTACATTAATTATGGTACAGAATATGAAAAGTAAATCCAGTGCTCTGCTTTAGAGAAGTGAAACGATGGATGTATTCCCCTGCCTAGTGTCCACTTAAAATTCTTCATTATTTATTTGTTGTATATATATTGAGTAATACTGATAATGACTAGCTGCAAAAACAAGGGTTTAAGTGCAGGATGTTCAGTAGAAATTTTATCATTGCAGCAGTATCTTGTTTTGAAGTCTGTTGATTGCAGTATGGTTTATTTATTGTATCTGATAGTATTGTTAGGATTTCTGTGGTTGCGGGTTCCAAGATAAAATATACAAGTGATGCATGAATAATCAGTCGAGTAAATTAAACATTGAGTGAGTTACTTATGACCATTAATTTTATCCCTTTATATTTGTTGTCAGTATGGCAGTCCCCTTGATTTTCTTATTATTTTTAATAAATAATAAGAATTATTAACTTTTTAAAGAAAATAGTGTAATAGTACAGTATGTTAATTTTTTTGTGAATTCACTTAGGAAAATAGGAAAGACTGGATGGTATGGTTGTAATTATTACTCTTCATTATTTAATACTTTTCAATTTTTGTCAGTGTGTTGAGTAGGGAATCTTGAATTCTGGTGTTTATTCTTCATACATTGTGCATCAATTGCTTGTTGCTGACACTTTAATATTTTTATAATTATGACGCATCTAATTTAAAAAACTTTTAATTGTCATGGGAATATCTTTATTTAGAGGGTGATATTGCTGCCTTTAGGTTTTGCAGAGAAGTAGCTTTGATGCACGTCCTTTGGTGTCCATAACAGATATTGACGAGTTAATCCTAATTTCTTCTAGGGTGGAGCAAAGAGCGACACAATGCTTTAACTTGACATGGTGGAAATCACTGCGACCACGTGTGTATAACCTGTTGTCTATTTTTCGCCAAATGTCTTATTATTTCATAACAGTTTTGATTATGCAGTTTATCCAACTCATTGTCCTCTTTTCTGCAATTTGCCATTATGGTAGTTTTCATTTGTAGTAAAAATTTAGGAACACAAGAGATTGGCCAATCCTTTCTGAGCCAGTCTTTTCCTCACAAGAAAAAAAATTAGTTTTAGCAATATTATATGAAAGTTGTCAGAAGATGGTACAATGTCCAATACAGATACTTGTGGTTTTAACCTCATCTAACTAACCCTGTGTCCAATAATGCTCAAAACTGGGCATACTTTCCAGGGATAATCCAGCGGCAGAGAAGATATCTCCATACGGCTTGGGGGTGCTGGTTGTGAGTTTTAGATGCATAATGTCCATCTTTAGCCCTTTTTTATTTCTGAGAAACATTTTAAGAATCACTAATGTTTTAGGGTGTGGTGTAACCTGCTGTGGGAGGTGAAAGACTGAAGTGTGTGCTTGATTGCTGGAACCAACTTTAGTGTGTGATTCATGAGTGTTCTTTATTATCATTTTATGGGTCAGTGACTCATTTAACACTTCAGGTTACACCCTCACATGTTAGTGTAAGTTCAGGGTAATTGAGCATATAGTGAACATGACCTTGGCTGTGATACTTGCCAGTATATTTGGGTAAAACTTTTTTTTTTATGGAAATTGTTATAATAAAAAAATTAATTGGTCTTTTAGTTAAATTTTTTTTTCCTGCAAGGTCATGAGTCACTCCATAATAGTTAAGTATTTAGATTAGGTTGAAGTATTGATGCTCCCTGTGCAGCCAAAAATCATTTTGCTTTATTGAGAATTGTAATTTCTTTGGAGTAAAGCTTTTAACTTTTAATCAGATCATGACTCAAAATTTAGAAAAGAAAAAAATAGTAGTATTAATGTCTTATTTGTGTGATACCAAGCATTGAGATTTGGGCTGCATCTTGGTGCATGCATTTTTTGACATTAGGCCGGTGGTTCTCCCATAGGTGATGACACAAGGTATCGGCTTAAGTTCTCCGACCCAAAAGTATGCAAGAGTTTCCTGCTCACTTGCTGTCCTCATGAGATTCTCTCCTCAACGGTGAGTAAAATAATTTTTAGGATTTTATTAGCCATGTGAATACAGTACAGCATTCAGGAGACTTAACAAAAAAAAAAAAAAATTATGATTTTTTCACTGTTCACTTCACCTTTTCTGTTGCTAACTATGTACAATTGAACACCAAAAAATCAGTGCAGTCAAGACTCGACATTCAACAATGAATTTTTTTGAAAGGATCTGAGTGGAGACAAACTGTGGCACAGTATTTGCCACTGTATTGTTGTTCTCAAGTACAGTACACACACAGTTGTACTGCATATAAATCATGTGGGATAGCCCCCCCCCCCTTTTTTTTTTTTTAGCATTGTCAAAAGATGATTAGGTTAAGGCTGTCACAATTTTATCTTGTGTGCCTCACTGAAAAATGCATCTGGCATCACATTAAGTCTATAAAGGGAAATGATGGCATTAAGTATTGAAATTAATTTAAGGTTTGTATGGTCATTGTTAAACAAAGGACCCAAGTTAACACTCATTTACTGTTATTTTTTTTCCCCTTGTCAAACACCAGATGTAAAATCTGGTGTACCATTAAGGTTTAGAGGCAAATTGTCTACTCTACATACTGAAATTCCTTGAAAAATGAGGCTAATAAATACTTTACTTTAAGTAGATAAAGGTCTAAGCTAATATACTTGAGATTTAATTGTGTGTGTTAACAACCAGTTAAGTGTAATACAGTACTATAATTTTGAATAGAATATTAGGGGTTTGAACTGCAGACCTTCAAGTTAATAATTAACAAAATAAGGAGCAGTGTGCGCTCTCCTCTCACAAACATGGCACCAGGCATTGCCAGTTACCTCCCATTGGCTTCAGGGGCATGTTGCTGATGTTCCTGTAGGGTTGATGTCAGATTTTAATAAAGCAATTCAAAATCCAAGAATAATTAAGGAACTTGAATAACATGAACAAAAATGGAGGGGGGGGGATGTATGCTATTTTGGATTTTTTTTTTTTTTTTTTGGTTGGGAAGTTAAAAATTGAATGTGAAAGCTACTTGAATATAAGTGCATGTGATTATGGTGTTCAATTGTAGTTACTGTGTTTTTTGTATAAGTCATTTTAATGGTAATTTGTGTAAATGATATTAGTAAACTTAGTAAACAACTTAATTTCCATAGAATGCTTTTCAGGAGTATGATGGAAAAGACTTAATTTATTATTTAGAAACAAGTGATCATGTATAACTCATATTTCCTGACAAAAAGAAAAAGTTTTGTCATCTTATTAAATTTTCAATAATTAATCAGATCCTTGCCAGTGTACATAAATATCTATCAAGTTAGTCATATGACTCTCTTAACCCTTAAATGGTCCAAACGTATATATACGTTTTTTCAACATCTGAAAGTATGTAAAAAATGTAGATCTTTTTTGTTTTACATTTGAAAACGTGTAAAAAAAACTTTTATCTACATTTTTTTTTGTTATATTTGAAAATATGTAAAAAAAAGTAGACCTACTTTTGTAGCACTACGAATTTGAACGTCAATCTCTTTGGACCGTTTAAGGGTTAAATCTGTGACTGTCCCTAAAACTAAAATATTTATTTTTTCCACTCGCACCCCAGTCCCTTCATATTGCTATCTTAATAGTATATTGTTTTCTATAATCATTACAGTATACATTTAAAATATTGGTTAAAATATTTTGTGGCCCATTTATATTGTACAGTACTTAGAGAGGTTTTTTTTTTTTTTTTTGCAATTTATCAAAATAAATTTTTGTCAGGGATTCTGTGCATGGTAAACCAGCATTTGTTTACCATAAATTTAAATTTCTTTAGTCACTGCCAACTTTGGCTGTCCTATAAGCCTGCAGCACTTTTTCACCTATTGCAGTACTACATGAATATTCTGGTTATAGTCTTTTTTGTACTGCAAGACAGCCTGGAAGTGTTAGACCTATTCATGCAGGTATCCAATTACTTTAATAAATTCTGAAAATGTGGTGGAAAATTCCATGGCACTGTACTTTAACCCTTTCACTGTTGGTCCCATAATATGGCTTGCAAGCCAGTGTCTGTCCCATAATAGTACACCAAAATTATACCAGCTTCCAATCTTGTGAGAAATAGCTGGTAGGCCTACACATGAGAGAATGGGTCTGATTGGTCAGTGTGCGCAGTATAAAAAAGTATTCTTCAGCACACAGTGCATAACTAGAAAAACAACTGCAACCGTGTTTTTGGTTTAACCCTTTGTGGGTTTCGAACGTACTAGTACGTCTTACAACCCAGGGTTTTTGACGTACTAGTATGCCTAAATTCTAGCGCCCTCAAATCTAATGAGAGAAAGCTGGTAGGCCTACATATGAAAAAAATGGGTATGTGGTCAGTGTGCGCAATATAAAAAAAATCCTGCAGCACACAGTGCGTAATGAGAAAAAAAAACTTTGACCGTGTTTTTGGATTAAAACAGCGACTTTGCACTGTATTTTCGTATGGTATTTATTGTTGTATTCTAGTTTTCTTGGTCTCATTTTATAGAATGGAAGACATATTACAGAAATTGAGATGATTTTGACTGGTTTTACAATGAAAAGTACCTTGAAATTGAGCTCAAAGTAGCAGAAATGTTCGATTTTTACCAAAGTTCAAAAGTAAACAAATCATGCCAAGCGTCCAATACACATCAACTGGTGAGTCTAATATTTTTTCACAAGTGCGCTGATATTATTTATACCATTTCTACACTAATGCAGTAGTCTGCATAACAGTAAATCTTATTTTTTATTTGTTAGAATAAAAATTCAAAGTGGAAAGCCAAAGAAATATAAGAGGCCTGGGGATGTGACTAACGAACAGAGAACTTGTTATTTTAGTGCTAGGAATGTCTTTCTTGTTTATTCTGGACCCTATTCGGAAATTGGCATCTTTTGAAATTTGTGTGAAATTGGCAAAATTGCTAAATTCTGACCACTTTATTGGATAGTTGAAATTGGTAAATGGGTGGTTTCTTGTACTCATTCGATAGAAAAAATGGAGTTCTAGCGAAATAGTTATGATTTTTGTCAACTAGTACACTGGAATTGGCCGAAAATAGGGCTCAGTGGGCAAAATCACTGATGCGTAAACATCGTCGAGACCGCTAACTTCGTGAGAGCATGATTCCGTAAGTTTTCCATCAAATTTCATACTTTTGGTCTCATTATGATCGGGAAAATATTCTATCTTTTCATAAGAATTTTTTTTTTTTTTTTAAATTTGGCCGACGCTGAGAAGTCTCTGAGAGGACCTGTCGACCCCCAAAGGGTTAAAACAGCAACTCTGTGGTGTATTATTGTATGGTATTTATGGTTGTATCCTTGTTTTCTTGGTCTCATTTGATAGAATGGAAGATATACTACAGAAATAGAGATGATTTTGAATGGTTTACAGACTTAGTCCTTTGAAATTGAGCACAAAGTAGTGGAAATGTTCGATTTTTGCTGACATTCAAGAGTAAACAAATCACGTCACACATACAATACACGTCAACTGGTGATTCTAATATGCTTTCACAAATGCACTGATATTATTTACGCCATTTTTACAATAATGCAGTAGTCTGCATAACAGTAAATCTTCTATTTTTTGTGCAAATAAAAATTCAAAATGAAAAGCAAGCATATTAGAAGAGGGGCCTGGAGACATGATTAATAAACAGAGAGAATGTTATTTTAGTGTTTGGAATGTCTGCATTGTTTATTCTGGACCCTATTTTGAAATTGGCATCTTTAGAAATTTGTGTGAAATTGGCCAAATTGCTGATTTCTGACCACTTTATTGGTTAGTTGACATAGGTGAATGGATGGTTTCTTGTACTCAATTGACAGAATAGAAGGAATACTAGCAAAGTAGCTATGAGTTTGGTAGACTGAAACAATGGAATGGGCCAAAAATAGGGCATAAATATCACTAATCTGGCACTCTGCAGGACCTGATGATGCTGGATTAGTGATGGCCAACCTGTACTTGCAAAGTAGTATCTTAGAATTTTTAACCCACTCAACCAAATACGTTGAGCAGAGTACCATTCTGCTACTTGTTCTTCAGTCAGTACCTCTAGAAAATCTTTTAGATAATTCTGGTCTTGCTGTTTCAGTGTTAAATTATAGGAGTTTGTTTTTATAATAGCTTACTTTTGCAGCGCATGGACTTGGGTGAGTGCCCCAAGGTACATGACCTGGCACTTCGAGCTGATTATGAACAGGCCTCAACTCAGAAAGACTACTTCTATGACATTGATGTAAGTAATATTAAAATGTTTGAGTGCTTCAGTTGAAAGAATTATTTATCATCTTTTCCTCTTTCTTTCCTTATGTGAAATGTAAGGCACATGTGGGATAGTATTGTCATGTGTGCTTGTTTTCAGGATATACAATAAAATCTTTTGATCAGTAGATCCCCCATTTAATGGATTTTGGAAAATATGGATAAAAGAAATTGGCCGGACAAATAGAATCATAGGACAAAATGGTAAAAATATAATTCGAGATTGTTTGTAGCACTAGTGTCCGGTTGTCTTAATCATTAGACCAAGTACTCTCCTATGTGTGGACATTTGTCCTGTACAGAAGAGAGCGTCCACGTCCAGGACCTGTCCATTTTCATTGTCCCTCAAGCCTTAGGCCACCCACACCAGTGTTTCTGTGCTCGCTTACTCACACTCATCATTTAGTCTCCAATTTTCCCTGGATTTACAATGTTTTGTGGTTGCAAGAGGTAACATGTAGCTCTCGTATTAAGCAGAAGCTTAAACTTTATTAAAGCAGGTAGAGTTTGGCATCTCGGTGGTACGGGTATGTGAGGAATGTGGTGTTAAGAAACAATGATGTCCATAGAAGCAAGGACAACTTAGACTATGCTCTTAGGTTCAATGTAGATGCTAGCCATAAACATTAGAGTTGGTCTTCTCAGCCATCTACATTTTCACATAATTTTACAGCTTTTTTGATGCTTGAATAAGTCATTCTGAGTTGCCATTATTGGTTACTGCAGTTTTTGCACCTCATCTCTCCATGAGAAGGTAAGTAAAATTACTGTAAATTACTTGCTGTCAAATTGCTATATAGTACTGTACTGCAGTTCTAAAGATTACAATACCTGTATTCTTAGTGGCCTGTGATCTTCTGAATTGATGGACGAAGTCCAGTGATTCAGATTTTTTTTTTTCTCAACCCTAGCTACCTCCTGCCAAGGTAGGGTGACCTGACAAAGAAAATTTTTGTTGTCACTCACTCATTCCTGCCTGAAGGGTGCCCACATCACAGTTCAGATGACCTTCTAAACTAAAGAATCCCCACCTCTCCTTCAGAGTGCAGTCACTGTACTGTCACCTCAAGGACTGTATTCCAGTTAACTGTTTTCCTGGAATTCCTTTGTAATTGTCACCTTGCTCACACCAACAGCATGTCAGATCATAACTATTTGCCTCCACGCACTCCTGTCTAACATGCTCACACAAGCCTGTTGCATGTCTAAGCTACTAGCACTCAAAACCACCTTTACTCTCTCCCACTAACCTTTCTATGATGACCCCTAACCTTCCTTGCCTCTACCCCAGATTTACACACCCTCTTAGCCATCCTATTTTTCTCCATCCACTCTAAATGTCTTAACCACCTCAACAGCCCCTCCTCAGTTCCCTGAAGCTCAGAATTTTCTGCATAATATACCACACATTGCCCTCAAACACAGTATCTTGACTACTTACAACCTTTGCTGCAACATTCAAAACCCATTCTCTCTATCTCTATCTATCTCTGTCTATCTATCTATATCTATATCTATCTCTCTATCTATATCTATCTCTCTCTATATCTATCTATCTATCTCTCTCTCTCTCTCTCTCTCTTATATATATATATATATATCTCTATCTCTTTTTTTTTTTTTTTTTTTTTTTTTACACAGGGTTTGACAAGGTTAAGGATCCCTAGCTTTATTGACAGCTATTTACAGGTTAAGGATTCCTAACTTTATTGGCAAGCTAAGAGCTGTTACCTACATCAACTCATTTGAAAGCATTTTTATTGTTATGAGACATACAAGTAGGAAACAGGATGAAGTTGGAGCCATCTGTGGGCCAGCATTTTCATTTGATCAACTGACTTTATCTCGTTGACATCATTATGCTGTACGAATGTGTTCCATACTCTAGTCATCCTGGGTATGTATGATCTCAGATGGAGTGATGTTTTGGAGAAGGGTACAGCCAGAGTGAAGTTGCTGCTTTCTGCCCGTCTTGTGGCATAAAAGCTTGTTTCACGCTGTCCTCGAAGTGGATCCAAGTGTGGTATTTTGACAATATTGGCCTTGTACATAACAGTAAGGCCACCCACATCCCTCCTATGTTGAAGGCTCTGCTGAAATGACAGATCTATCCAGGATAGGTCCAGGCGAGAGATGAGACGTCTTGCTCTGTTCTCTACTCTGTCAAGCAGTCGCAGATGAGAGGGGGGGCAGGCAAACCAAGAAAGTGGAGCATACTCAAGGTGCGAGCGTACTTGTGCCTCGTACAGGATCTTGCAACCCCTACTGTCAAGCAGATGGGAGATATGGCGAAGTGCTGTAAGCTTCCTGGCTGCCTTGTTTGCAAGATTTACAACATGGTTCTTCATGGTTAGTTTGGAGTCAAATTTCACCCCAAGGATATCAACTTTTTCTCCAGGTGCCAACATCCTCACATTCATCCTTACTACTGCACCAGCATTACCATCATGGTGCCTAGAGACGATCATCATTTGCGTTTTCTCAGGTGCAAATGTTACTTGCCATCTATTTCCCCAAGCTGATATAGCTCTCAGCTGGTGATTGATGTAGCTTAGAGCAGCTGGCATTTCTTCTCTTGGATAAGTGAATGTCAGTGTACAGTCGTCTGCATATGCATGTGATTCTGGGATGAGATGAAGAAGGTCGTTGAGGTAGACATTCCATAACAATGGACCCAGCACGCTTCCTTGTGGAACACTTGCCCCAATAGGATGTCTTGCTGATTCTGTTCCATTGAGAACTACACTGAGATCTACCATGAAGGTAGTCACTGAGGAGACATAGCGTAGAGCCTGCAATTCCCAGTGCTTGAAGTTTTGCTAAGAGGCCCTGGTGCCACACCCGGTCGAAAGCGCCAGCAATGTCCAGTGCTACCACACAGCTGACTTTGGATTCATCCAGTGACTGGTGCCACTTAGTGGAGAGGTTTAACAGATCAGCAGCAGAGTAACCTTTCCTGAAGCCATATTGACGATCACAAAGTAGTGAGTGGTAGTCAAAAAACTCTGTCATTTGTCTTGAGATTATTGTCTCAAAGATCTTACCAGTGATTGACAGGAGTGACACTGGTCTGTAGTTGCTGATTTCTGCTCTGCTCTTCTTTTTGTGAACAGGGACTACATTCGCCTCTTTCCATAGAGAGGGCCATTTACACTGTACTAGGCAGTGCTGAAAGATGCGAGTTAGAGGTGCTGCTAGCTGGTCTGCACATCTTCTCAACAATCTTGGGCTCAACTTGTCTGGGCCCACAGCCTTTTCTTGGTCAAGCGATTTAAGTAGGAAATGCACCTCCTCCTGCCTTATTGTCACCACTGACAGTTTTGACACCGTTCTTGCAGCTAGCCAAGGAGGGTCCCTTGCTGGATCAGGAACTTGCATTTTGGTAGCAAAGTGTTCAGCAAAGAGGTCCGCCTTCTCTTGACTACTAGTAGAGGTGGTCCCATCCTGTCGATTTAGAGGTGGAATAAGTTCATCAGGCAGATAACCTCTCTTTCTATCTCTTTCTCTTTCTCTCTTTCTCTCTTTCTCTCTTTCTCTCTTTCTCTCTTTCTCTCTTTCTCTCTTTCTCTCTTTCTCTCTCTCTTTCTCTCTCTTTCTCTTTCTCTCTCTCTCTCTTCTTTTCTTTCTCTTTTCTCTTTTTCTCTCTTTCTCTCTTTCTTTCTCTTTCTCTTTCTCTTTCTCTCTCTCTCTTTTTCTCTCTTTCTCTCTCTTTCTCTTTCTCTTCTTTCTCTCTTTCTCTCTCTCTTTTCTCTCTTTCTCTCTCTTTCTCTCTTTCTCTCTTTCTCTTCTTTTCTCTCTTTCTCTTTCTCTCTTTCTTTTCTTTCTCTTTCTCTCTTTCTCTCTCTTTCTCTCTTCTCTCCTTTCTCTCTTTCTCTTCTTTCTCTCTTTCTCTTTCTCTCTCTTTCTCTCTTTCTCTTTATCTCTTTCTCTTTCTTTCTCTTTCATTTTTATCTTTTTCTCTTTCTCTCTTTCTCTTTCTCTTTCTCTCTCTCTCTCTCTCTCTCTTCTCTCCTCTCTCTCTCTCTCTCTCTCTCTCTCTCTCTCTTCTCTCTCTCTCTCTCTCTCTGCCACATGTGCATACATACATTAGTACCACTATTCTCTGGTACGTTCCTCTTCTAATTTGTATACAAGATTTTGTCTCCCCAAAGAACCTTATCCATCATCAGTTCTGTGGCTCATTTCTCATAGAATCATCCACTCCCAAATGTCTAAACACATTCAGTCAGTCAGCAGTAATGTGCACCCCTTCCCTCATCTAGTCTGTTAAAAGGTTTGCTGTAATTAGTGTATAGATGTTTGCAACCAAATTTGGGATATAGCATAATTCTATGTCCTATGTACATTTTAAAGGTATTGTGTGTGTGTGTGTGTGGTGTGTGTGTGTGTGTGTGTGTGTGTGTGTGTGTGTGTGTGTGTGTGTGTGTGTGTGTGTGTGTGTGAAACATTTGCAGATACAAGAGAACAATGCTTGTCAATGTCCTAGAAGTGTTCAGCTAAAGATAGCATACCCTGAGCTCTAGCTGTCCTGATAATGTGAGCATTTTTGAATATGCCAGTTGATCCTTGTAGATTAATGGGGCTTCTAGTGCTCGCAAGGGAGGAGAACTGCCTGTAGAATTGAAAGAAGCAATCTACTAGTTTGATGCACTTCTCTGTTTTTTCTTGCTGCTCTGCTCTAGTCTTATTTTCAGTAACCTTCCAAATTTGAGGAGAACTTTGATATTTACTTTAGATTTTTTTAGAAAAAAAAAATCTGACAAGGTTCTTAGTGGCAGGCAACTGCTGTTATACCACTTGAAAAAGATCAGTGCACACATTGTGTCCTACTTGTGTACACCTCTTAGTGTGTAATATATAGTATTCGGAAAAAAACACTGCCTTGCTAATTATTTGTCCTCTACATACAGGGCTTTGTTGGAGGGGAGTAGGTGAAGAAAATTCATACTTATGTTAAATTACCCACAGGGCAAGAAAAGAATTTCAGAAGTAGCCAAACAAAACTGTATTAAACCCATTATAAGGGGGGGAGGTTCATTGATGCTAAAGTTCTCTAGATCCAAGGAATTAGAGCTACCCTTCCTTGAATCAAACCCAGTGATCTCCCATTTTGCAAGTGCTGTATGATCCTTACGAGTTTGGAGCTTCCTCGTTAATATAATCATAAGTATAATTAATTTTCCAAATATTTTCTCTGCCCTAAGCACTCCTACGTTCTTACTAGGCTCGGCATTTGCAAATACCTATTAAACATTTTTTTTATTTAATTTTAAGTCTAATTTTATTTTATTTTTATATATATACAAAATCATTATTATCAGTTTTAGTTCTTGGTTCAAATCAGATAGCCCTCTCCCCCTAAATGAAGTAAATCGTATGTACAGGAATTTCAACCATGCGAGTTAAACAGCAATACAAGGTATATTAAAAAAACCTGGCAAGTCTTGTAATTAGATCAATGGCATAATACCAACAAGTTAATGAATAAGAAGCATACAAAACACTAAGTATCTTTGAGATATTTCTTGCATACTACACAGACAGAATCTTTTTTGATAAAGATACCTAGATGATGCACACACATCTTATTCATCAGCTGGTGAATCTTATTTTAAATACATGCCATTTCTAATTATACTTCATTTTATTGACCTCAAACTACAGTAAACCCTCATCAGTATAATGGATTAATAAGGGATGACTATTACGTCGATGTTAAAAATAGTATTAGTTCACCTAATGTAGAAGTGCACACACTTTTTGCATATGTACTGTGGTAAACATTGAAAATAAAGGATTAAAAATACAATTTAAGCAGTTGACCTTGCCTATAATTGTAAAGTCCATTATAGCGAGAGCCATCATATTGAGGGTTTACTGTATTCACATTTGCCTTGAGATTAACCCTTAAACTGTCCAAACATAGATTTACGTCCATGGGCGGGGGGGCTCCGAACGTAGATCTACATTTTTTTTTTACATGCTTTCAAATAAGGAAAATCAAGGTTGGAGCGCTACACACGTGAACGTAGATCTACGTTTGGACAGTTTAAGGGTTAAATTGGGTGCTGTCTTGAGTGCAGCTCAATATAGTTTTTATCAATGAGTTCTTGATTACAGGCAATGGAGCATCTGCAGTCGTTTATTACCGATTGTGATAGGCGAACAGAATCTGCTAAAAAGCGATTAGCAGAGACACAGGAGGAATTGAGTGCAGAAGTTGCGGCAAAAGCTAATAAAGTCCATGACCTTGCAGAGCAGATTGGAAAGAAGTTGGCAAGAGCTGAAGGTCTTGGTGCTGATGGAATGGTTGAGGTAAGAGGGTTAGAACTTGTAAATAGTCTACTCTATAATGTATCCACGATGCCCTCCTCTCCATTGTAACTCTCTCTCCTTCCTCTTGGAACTCTCCTTCCTTCCTTCCTCTTGGAACTCTCCTTCCTTCCTTCCTCTTGGAACTCTCCTTCCTTCCTTCCTCTTGGAACTCTCCTTCCTTCCTTCCTCTTGGAACTCTCCTTCCTTCCTTCCTCTTGGAACTCTCCTTCCTTCCTTCCTCTTGGAACTCTCCTTCCTTCCTTCCTCTTGGAACTCTCCTTCCTTCCTTCCTCTTGGAACTCTCCTTCCTTCCTTCCTCTTGGAACTCTCCTTCCTTCCTCTTGGAACTCTCCTTCCTTCCTCTTGGAACTCTCCTTCCTTCCTCTTGGAACTCTCCTTCCTCTTGGAACTCTCCTTCCTTCCTCTTGGAACTCTCCTTCCTTCCTCTTGGAACTCTCCTTCCTTCCTCTTGGAACTCTCCTTTCCTCTTGGAACTCCTTCCTTCCTTCCTCTTGGAACTCTCCTTCCTTCCTTCCTCTTGGAACTCTCCTTCCTTCCTCTTGGAACCCTCCTTCCTTCCTCTTGGAACTCTCCTTACTTCCTTCCTTCCTCTTGGAACTCTCCTTACTTCCTTCCTTCCTCTTGGAACTCTCCTTACTTCCTTCCTTCCTCTTGGAACTCTCCTTACTTCCTTCCTTCCTCTTGGAACTCTCCTTACTTCCTTCCTTCCTCTTGGAACTCTCCTTACTTCCTTCCTTCCTCTTGGAACTCTCCTTACTTCCTCTTGGAATTCTCCTTCTTTTCCTCTTGGAACTCTCCTTCCTTCCTTCCTTCCTCTTGGAACTCTCCTTCCTTTCTGTAGGAACTCTCCTTCCTTTCTGTAGGAACTCTCCTTCCTTTCTATAGGAACTCTCCTTCCTTTCTATAGGAACTCTTCTTCCTTTCTATAGGAACTCTTCTTCCTTCCTCTTGGAACTCTTGTTCCTTCTTTCCTGTTGGAACTCTCCTTCCTTCCTTCCTTCCTTCCTTCCTCTTGGAACTCTCCTCCCTTCCTTCCTCTTGGAACTCTCCTCCCATCCTTCCTCTTGGAACTCTCCTCCCATCCTTCCTCTTGGAACTCTCCTCCCATCCTTCCTCTTGGAACTCTCCTCCCTCCCTTCCTCTTGGAACTCTCCTCCCTTCCTTCCTCTTGGAACTCTCCTCCCTTCCTTCCTCTTGGAACTCTTCTTCCTTGCTTCCCATTGGAACTCTCCCTTCCTTCCCTTTGGAGCTCTTTCCCTTCCTCCCTTCCCTTTGGAACTCTCCCTCCTTCCCTCCCTCCTTCCTGTCACTTTAAAACATTTCGTCTCTTCATTAGTTACGTCTACAGACGCCTCCTATATTACACTTGTTTTCCATTTTGAATTATTATGTACACAAAAAATAGATGAGTTATTGCAATGCAGACTACTTCATTGTTGTAATAATTGCATAAATGTCAGTGCATTCGTGAACACGCATTAGACTGGCCAGTTGGATGCATATTGGACGAGTAACGTTACTTGTGTACTCTTGAATATCTGCAAAAATTGAGCAATTCTGCTACTTTGAGCTCAATTTGAAGCTATTTTCAGTCCAATCAAAATCAAAACCGTGAATACAACCATAAAAACCATACAAAATACTCTGCAAAGTTGCTGTTTTAAACCAAAAACAGTCTCAGGCTTTTCTTTTCTCGTACGCTCTATGTGCAGGATTTTTTTTTATATGCCTGGAGTATACCTGGAGAGGGTTTCAAGGGCAATGCCCCCGTTGCCCGGTCTGTGGCCAGGTCGCATGGTGGATCAGGGCCTGATCAATCAGGCTGTTACTGTTGGCTGCACACAACCCAACATATGAACCACAATCTGGCTGGTCAGGTACTGACTTTAGGTGCCTGTCCAGTGCCTTCTTGAAGACAGCCAGGGGTCTTGGTAATCCCCCTTATGTATGCTGGGAGGCAATTGAACATTCTTGGGCCCCTGATACTTATTGTGTTCTCTTATCATGCTACTGGCACCCCTGCTTTTCACTGGTGGGATATTGCATCGTCTGCCAAGTCTTTTGCTTTCGTAGCGAGTGATTTTTGTGTGCAAGTTTGATACTAATCCCTCTAGGATTTTCCAAGTGTATATAATCATGCATCTTTCCTGCCTGCGTTCTAGGGAGTACAGGTTTAGGAACTTCAAGCGTTCCCAGTAATTGAGGTGTTTTATCAGTTATATGTGCCAAGAAGGTTCTCTCTAAGCTTTCTAGGTCAGCATTTTCACCTGCTTTGGAAGGTGCTGTTAGTGTGCAGCAATATTCCAACCTAGGTAGAAAAAGTGACCTGAAAAGTGTCATCGTGAACTTGGCATCTCTGGTTTTGAAGGTTCTCATAATTCATTCTGCCATTTTTCTAGCAGATGCAAGTGATACAATATTTTGGTCTTTGAAGGTGAAATCCTCTGACATGATCACTCCCAGGCCTTTTACATTAGTTTTTCACTCTATTGCTTGGTTGGAATTTGTTTTATACTCCGATATAGTTTTAATTTCCTCACATTTTCCACGTTGGAGTAATTGAAATTTCTCATCATTGAACTTCATATTGTTTTCTGCAGCCTATTTAAAGATTTGGTTGATGTCCGCCTGGAGTCTTGCGGTGTCTTCAATGGAGGACACTGTCATGCAGATTTGGGTGTCATCTGCAAAGGAAGACATGGCGCTGTGGCTTACATCCCTGTCTGTCAGATATGAGGATGTGGAACAGGTTGGGAGCGAGTACTGTGCCATGCTGAACAGCTTTTCACCGTAGCCATCTCGGACTTAACTCTGTTTACTACTACTATCTGTGTTCTATTTGTTAGGAAATTATAGATCCACCTACCAACTTTTCCTGTTATTTCTTTATCACGCATTTGTGCATTATTGCACCATGGTCACACTTGTCAAAGGCTTTTGCAAAGTCTGTGTATACTACATCTGCATTTTTTTGTCTTTTAGAGCATCCAGGACCTTGTCATAGTGGTCCAGTAGTTGGGATAGACAGGAGCGACCTGCTCTAAACGCGTTTCCCTGGGTTGTGTAACTGATGGGTATCTAGAAGGGTGGCAATCTTGCTTCTTAGAACCCTTTCAAAGATTTTTATGATATGGGATATTAGTGCTTTGTGGGGTGGGGCTATGTCTGTTGTTTTTAGCAGCTGTGGGACAACCTGTGTCCATGCTCCCTCTCCATCGGATGTTAAAAGCACATATTCTTGATAAACATGGAGTTCCACGAGTCTGGGCCTGGGACAGAGTGCATGGGCATGTCGTTTATCGCCTTTTTGAAGTCATTTGGCGTCATGGTAATATAGGATAGGTTCGAGTCTGCCAAATTCTGTCTGTCTCTCTCGTAAAAATTCATTTAGGTCTTCGACACTGTCTGGTTAGTGGCTCTCTAAAAACTGAGTCATATTGGGACTTTAGTAGCTCACTCATTTCCTTGCTGTCATCTGTGTAGGACCCATCTTGTTTAAGTAAGGGCCCAATACTGAATGTTGTTCTTGACTTTGATTTGGCACAAGAAAAGAAATTTTTTTTTCAATTTCTTCTATGGCTTTTAGGTCTTCCTGCATTTCTTGACTCCTGTAAGAGTCCTTTAGCTTTAGTTCGATGTTTGCCATTTCTCTGACAGTATCTCCCTATATAATATAGATGTATTGGCCTCTTTTAGCCACTGTTATTCTTTGCCTTTGCCTGTACAGGGAGCACCTTTCTCTTTCTAGTTTACATCTCCTTTTCCTTAAAGGAATATGCCTTAAGTATGCCTAAAGTACCACAGAGTTAAGTTGTTCTAAACATAGGTTTGGATCTCTGGTGCTTAGGGTATCTTTCCAGTTTATATCATTTAGGACCTGGTTTGCTTGATCCCACCTTATGTTTTTGTTACTGAAGTTGAATTTGGTGAAGGTTCCCTCATGACTTTATCATATTTTGTCGGTCTGGGGCCCTGCGCATACATGTTTGAACCTCTATTATGTTGTGATCTGAGTATATTGTTTTTGATGTGGTAATATTTGGTATCAGATCATCATTGTTAGTGAAAATGAGGTCCAGTGTATTCACCAGTCTAGTAGGCTCTATTATTTGCTGGTTTAAGGTGAATTTGGTGCAGTGATTTAAAAGCTCGTGTGTGTGAGAGTTTTCATCTGAGCTGGCTCCTGGTGTTTTCTCTGCTACAGCATTATTTGCTACATTCCTCCATTTTAGGTGCCTTAGGTTGAAATCCTGTTGGGGGCAGGAGCTGGAAGATTTTCCAGACAGTGATCAGTTTTCACAAGCTGTTCCTGGAATTGTTGGGAAGTTGCATCCGGAGGCTTGTATACAACCACAATGACCAGGTTTTGGTTCTTGATGTTTACTGCCAAAACTTCAACTACATTGTTTGAGGCATTTAGTAGTTCCGAGCATTTAAGTGACTGATATACAGGTCAAACACCCCCCCCCCTCCCCCCTCCCTCCCTCCCTCCCTCCCTCCTTTGCTTTTTCACTCTGTCACATCTGTATAGGTTGTAACCCGGGATCCATATTTCATTTCAAAGTGATCCTTTACGTGGATCTCTGTGAAAACCACGAACATTGCATTTGACTCTGTAAGCAGTCCACAGATGTAAGGTATTTTGTTATTCATTGCCAGCTTTAGACGCTGTATATTTGCAAATGTCGTCGGATTGGTGGTATTTGGGGGGGGGGGGTTATCCTGGCACTAATATCTGTTGTTTTGGAGTGGAGGCCATCAACTGTGATTCCACTCCAAAAATGATCAGAGTTGGTGTATGATTTCTGTTATTGCCTGCCAGCTTTCTTTCCTTCTTGGCACTAAAAAAACAAAAAAAAATTTCTCTGGAGTGATTGTGACTACCCAGTTATAGCATTGTCTTTCCTGAACTGAAGAGTGACATATTTCGGGGTGGAACAGCTTACAGGAAGGAAGGTTGCATTCTCCTGTTGTTGTAA